GCAATTTGTTCTACAGCTGCACTTAGTCACTGCCAACAGAAAATGTAGGGCACGTGGCATTTCTGCCTAGCATTGCTCTAAGTGATCTTCGTGCAGCTGCCATCCCCATTGTGTCTTGAATATTACTTGAACTTGAAGATACATCAGAAGACTGTGGTACTTGGCTGCAGTAATGGTTGGCGGCAAGCATTGGATTTGGACGGATGTGGCACGTGATGCAACACTCACACAGAACCTCTTATAACGCAGTTTGTCAAGGGTGTCTGAAGCAGTGCCATAGTAGAGACTGACTAAAGCTCTTTCTCCAGCATCACTGATTTCTTCCTGAGTCTTTCCTGCTGTGCAGAAAATATGAGCTTGCTTTCGAAAATGAGCATCCGTCAATTTTTCTCATTGGAACAATTTTCCCCAGCCCAAAAAGTCTCGAAGTTGAATCACAGCCATTGACAGCATGAATGAACGGAAGAAAATGACACGTTTCTTCGCCTAGTTTCTCCTGCAGGTTCTGGATGTTAAACTTTTGTGATTGTTGCCTGCTTTTCTGTCTGATCTGAAGATAAAAGGCCTGCTACAGAGCTGTGCCTGGTGACAAAGGAGCACAAGCAAGTCTGTATCTTCTACAATGACAGCTACAGGGTGGGTTGCTGCATACTCCACGGCAGTTTTTACCATGAGTGAGTCGGCATCTCCAGCAGCGTGAAGATAGTGGCAACCAAGAGCCATCAGAGTGCTTCTAAGGAGGTGAACGAACTCCAGTTTGTTACTTGGATTTGAAAGGAAGTGTTCCTCGCATAAGGTCAAGGGCATTTCTTTGGTGACGACAACAGCTGGTCCGACCACACCTGCTGAACGCCTCATACCCATCAATCACCAAACACCAGGATGGGATTAGAATATTTCCCGTTAACATATTCAGCACACCTATTACAAATTACGGAAAATGGCTATTTCTTCCTCCGGGGGATTTTGTGAAGAAGTGAACCCGTCCAATATGGTCACCATGTCCATGCACTCATCTTTTGATGGTGGATCATCTTTGAAGAGGTCTCTCATTAAATCAGCTAGCTTGGATTTGTGTGCCTCTCTCATCAATCCTGATGATTCAAAGAGAGATGGTGGTGGAGTGGTCAGTTCTTACTTCAACACAGATGGGAGATCATAATCGTCAGCGTTTGCTGCTGTAATCATTCGCTGAAAGAGAAGTTCAGGATTGACTTGTATGTTTTCACCCTCCATTTTGGCCGTGATTTTGGTGTCCATGCTAACAACTTGGTCTTTTCTTTTAAAGGTGGAGTCCTTCTCAGGTTTGCCCTGCATGGTCTGCAAAATAGCCTTGCCAACATCTTTTGCAGTGTCGGCATTAACTGTGGAATGAGCTGTCACTCCATGGCATATATTCCGTAATGTCTGATCACAGGCAAAGGGGTTGTGATCTTTTAGGAAACTGAGGAGCAGTCTCATAATTATCTTTATCATCTCTCGTTTGTCTGGCATCACTGACTTCAATATGTTGTTGACTTGTATTTAATTCTGTACCCGTAACCCGCTGCATTTCATTGCATATATAAGCACAAGCTGGCATGGATATGAGCCACTGTTTTCTCTGTGTATCTCCCATGCCTCTACCACGCGTCAGTCCTACAACAGACTTCAGGTTTTTCATAAAGACTTGCTCAATCACGGGATCAGTACTCAGTCCAGCCCAGAAGCGATCACTTCGACGTAGAACATGAAAGCCGTACGAGAAGGCATTGAAAACTGATGGGTGCAGTTCTTCAAGCTGTCTCATCTTCTGAAGGTAGATATAAACCGACTTGGTGTACTGTGAGTGCCCGGCAGCAGCAAAGAAGGGGAGCATATCTAACAAGGATTGTAAATGTAACCACCAGCCACCTGTACGTTCGGCTTTAAGGAAGCGGTTCGAGATGTAAATCATATCCATGTTCTGAAGCCAGATACGAAAAATAAAACAGAAAAAACAAAACTTTAAAAAAATGAAGAAAAAAATACTACTAAAAACATATTTTTAAAAAAGTAGACACACAGGTTTGAACCCTAGTTAAAATGTTTACCACTAAGTCTGACGCCTTCACCACTAAGCTAGAACGACACACGTCATCCATTCTCATGTTAACATTGTATACTGTAGGCCAACATATGCACTTGATAAAATTGAATGTTCTTTTATTCAACTTCTGTTAGCATACACACCGAGTTTGTTTGTTTAGTCTACTGGGTAGAAGAGCTCTAATGCAACAATTAGATCTATAGGCCATAGATAAAGTTACTTACTTTCTTGTATCAATTTCCTTTACGTTTCTTCTAAAACAGAGTTGTTTTCACAGGGCGCGGCCATCGCGATCATTCCGCGGATGATGTGTGCCCTGGGCACATTGAAAATCGAGCCTCCGCGAGAGGAAACGGAGTTGGCGTTTTCAATGAAAATTTAAGAACTTTCCCATTCGTACGTAATTGTACATTTTGAGTATTTTAGGTACGATGATTTATTCTATCTACTGCAATTCATTCTGTTTCTTCTGGTTTTATTTCCTTGCAATTTCTTAAATCTGCCAGATTATAACCAAAGTCAAAGTTACCTCTATTCTAACGACAACATGCCATATAAATGCAGTTTCTTAATGTTTCAACTTTTGAATCGTACGTTTTCTGCTTGTATTGACTATGCTTACGCTATTATTGTTTCGTTAGGGGTTTACTTTGCGGACGGAGCCAAACAGATAGCACCAAACGTATATTAGTTTGGCTAAAAATAAAGGAAAAATCCAGATTTTTTCCAATCCTCAGTCTGACTCCAGCGGGCATGACAAACTTTGATTTCATGTGAGACCCTTGAATGGATCCTCTTGTTCACATGACTGGTCATTTGAACTTTGATGGTTCGGATCTATTACGCCAGCTGATATCAGTACGGGATAAAAAAAAATTTAAAAAAGTATTACACTCGTTATGTTGGTAGACAATGATTTATCCTACTTGTGAAATTGCCAGTAGTAATCACTCGTTGAAACTCGTGCTTACAACTTGGCAATTTCACTCGTAGGATAAATCATGACCTACCACCATAACTCATGTAATAAATTATTAGTCTTAGGGCTCATTTATAAGATCCATTTAAGCTATAATTAATTTGATTCTCCTTCCAACAGCAATTGTGATCAGCGGCCACCGTGGTCGTTTTATTGTCTATGTTCTTATGCCAGATTTAATTATTATTACATGGACGTGTATTCTAATTTTTAAACGATTGTTGAGAAATGAACGGGCCTGTAAACATGAAGCGTGGCTTTGTGAAAGCTTCTGTACTTAAATTTTATTGTGAAGCACATCAATAAGAGGGTGTTGTAGAAGTGATTGCAATTATTATTATTATTATTATTATTATTATTATTATTATTATTATTATTATTATTATTATTATTATTATTATTATTATTATTATCATTATTATTATTATTATTATCAATTTCAGCCTGATGTGTACCTGCGTCAACTCTAAAGGTGAGCAGTGGATGTTCCAGAGATTCTCTGTATGGTGGCCCTGTGGGATCCATGCCGACTTCACTACTCTCACAGAGTGCGTCAACAACTGGTTCGAGAAAGAGGAAAATCATCTGGAGAAAGTCAGAAAGTAAGGCCGACGACAGAGGTAACACTTGAGTACAAATGGCCAGGCACGATCAGAACAGATGGGATTGGGTCTGGTCGGGTCGAGTCGGATAATGGTGTAGTCCAGCGCAGACTATAATTTAACAAATTGATTTATCTCTCCCCTAGACCTAAAATGGAGGGGTTTGATCCAAGTGGGCCAAAATGGTTGCTTTCGCCACTCGATGAAAGAAAATCAGGCCACTCTCAACTATATCAAATCTTATTGAAAGACAATTGACAAACAGTTCTATTGTTAATGCTCAGTAAAAACCAACAACAAGAAGACCACCATACGCTATAAAAAGCTAGTGCAAGCAAGCAAGCAAGTGCCAGTTATATTCCCTATTTTTGTTTTTGTTGAGCCTCACTGAGACAGATCAGTTTTAGCTTAGTAAGAGTTTTACGACGCTAGCAGCTACAAAATGCCATATGATTTATGAGCGCACTAAGAAAGCTCGGCATTCTACAAGACACTATTAGGAATATTAAAGCCGCTTGCTTGCTAGTGCTTAGCTTTTTGTAGAGTAAAACGTGCCCTCTGTTCTCGGATCGCTGATTTAGAAAAAAAAACCCAACAAAAACAACAATAAATAGTTCGAGCAAACAAGCGCTAGTAATACAACTGAAAGTGCCTTGACACACATAAAAAAATAAATACTTAAAAAAAACACAGTGTGCCTCATTGTCTTTTTACCCTGTATCATATTGTAGGTTGAACTTTATGAACGTTTCGCTAAAGCATATTGACAGATTGATGACAATTTCTTGAAAGTAAAACAAATCAAATGAAGCAGTACTTGAAGAAGCCCACGTGGGCCGTTCGTTGTTAAAAACATTCAAGAAAAGACTATGCGGTTTCTGGAACACTTGAACAGACATAAAGGCCTTGAACATTTAGCTCTCACTGGCAAAATTGAGGGCAAACGAGGCAAGGACAATAAACCCCGAGCAACTTACTTGAAGAGCTTAACATGTGGGTGACAGGGAAAGATCAGGATAAAGTTAATTTTTTTTAGAGCTCCAAGCAATGGAATGAATGGAGAACCATGATTGCCTATGCCTGTCGCTGATCTTGCACGTGATGATGATGATTTTGATCAATAAAAGTCAAGCATAACCATCATATCTTCGCGCATCACGATGGACATACCCCGCTGTTTCCTGGCCCTATAAGATATAGCCACAGCCACACGGTGACCTTCTCTGGCACCTCAGATGTTGCAAACTTGGTCGAGTATAAAATATAAATAGGAAGATTGGGGGGGGGGTGCATTATTTTTTTAATTGACCCCTTCCACGTAATGCTATGCGACTGTCTTTTTCAGATACTCTTACGTGACAATGTTGAGAGACGCAGTCACTCGGTTCCTGAGTGAGTGGAAGCATGTGTCCATCGGTGCTCACTGGCAAGAGGTTCTGCAGTGTGATGGAAGCCGGCACGGGCCCAGGGTGCCAAGGTGTTACCGGGGGAAAAACTGGATGAACGTGTCTCTAGTAGATTTTATGGCTTGCAAGTACGTTCGTGAAGTTATCATTGCTCTCTAACTATGGTTTATCGTCTGTTTTCGCTTCCACTTTCTGTTCCCCTCCACTTTGCCCCATTCTCTGGACTCCTGATTCTTTCCTCAACCTTTCTACTGCTTCTCCTCCCACTGCAGTCTTTCATCATCACACTTGATCTTATGGTAGGTAAGATCTAACACCTAGCCTTCTCCGACAACGGTAAAAAATCTCGGAGGTTCCGAGTGCAAGTTGCGCACGTTAAAGATCCCTTGGTGGTCCTAAAATCGATAAGAGTAGGGTTCGGCCGCCACCCGGGCAAAATTCCAAATTTCCTACCAACTGGAAAACGTTTAATGTGTCCTGTGCGCTCACTTGACCTTATGCAGTTGGGAGCGCCGTAAAACACTTACAAAAAAAGGAAGGTACATGCATCACGGTGGTGCCACGAGAATAGCAGTGTTGCTTTATATTATGCCAGTGATGTTGTAGGGGTTTTTAATTAAGTAGGTGTTGCGGCAGAGTTGTGGTTCATGAGACGCATGCTACGTATCCCATGGACAGCTAGAAAAACAAATGAAGAAGTCCTGGTTGAAGCAAATTATAGAAAACAACTTATCACGAATATAAGAAAACGACAGGCAAATTTTTTCGGACACACAATGCGGAAAGAAGCATTAGAGAACATTGTAACAACAGGAAAGCTTGATGGAAAGAGAGGTAGAGGCAGACAGAGGGAAAAGATACTGGACAAGATGACAATATGGCTGGGAGCAGCAAGAACAACAGACACCATTGCTGCTTCGAAAGACAGATGGAAGTGGAGGTCCATGATCGCCCACGCCAGTCGGCAAGGCACCGGATGATGATGATGAGGTGTTCTTATTATAGACCATTTAATTAAGAGGTCAGGCGAGATGCTGCTCCGCCAGTCAGGGAAAACTTAAGATAAGATAAGATAAGATAAGATAAGATACATCTTTATTGTCCGGATCCTGGCACATTGGTTTGGTGTTCCACCACGAGTACACACACACACACACACACACACACACACAAACACACACACGTACACACGTGCACACACATGCACACACAAGTAGGCTTACAATCACATGCATAATATAAATGAGCAGCAATATAAACAATAATAATCGTAAGCTAGATACACACTCAATGTTATTTTGATGCATGCTCTAAGGTCTTAAGTACACCAAACAAGATGGTTAAGATGGAAGCATTTTGATAGATGATGGTAAAAAACACTTGGGCTGTGAGTGAGGCTACCGCTTTAGTTCCGGTATCCTCGGCTGTGAGGGATACATAGAGCTAGCAGAAAGACCGAGACACTCAAAAAAACAGAAATTCTCCCTACACAGGAATCGAATTTGCGTCTTTTGCCAGCGTACACCGAATAATAATATACTGGGTTTTTAAAAAAAATAAGATTGGGATAGCTATGATGACACAACTGCATTTAAGAGAAGCGCCTATGTTGACCGCATTTAACTGTTTTCTAAAGTCAAATCTATTTAAATCTTATTTTCTCAGCGAGTTTGATTTTCCAACAAAAAGCGTGGCCAGCAGTCACAGTGATTGTCAGTTGTCAGTGTGTGTATGTGTTCGATCCTTTGTCAGAACATGCCTGTTGGTATATTATACACATGCTCACCGCACCCCCACCCCCATCCCCTCAACAAAATTACCTAAAACACAGTGGACAAGGTCTAACTTTTCAATAAAATACCGTCCATTACCAGAGAGGTTTATCCATTAGGTGAAGATGAACTTCAATTCTAGCCCCGGGTCCAGTTGACATCTACAACCAGACCGAGCTAAGAACTATCTTGAATGCAAGCAACTTGTGTTTCGCGCGCTCATAATACTGTTGCAATTGCAAGCGCCGTAAAACTCATACTAATACTAAACTAAACTGAACTTCAATTTTCCATGCGGAAATGTCTTGACGCATCCGTGGTACCGTGGGGGGTTGGTAGTATGTCTCTCATAAACAGGACGCGTGACGCCATTTGGGGGGGTGGGGGTGTTGCACTGGCTTAGGTCGGTGGCCTAGTAGTTAGGCTCTCGTACTTGCAACCGTAAGGTCGTGGGTTCGAATGCCGTCAGAGGCACGATGTTGTGTCCTTGAGAAAGGCACTTCACACGAATTTTCCTAACTTCATCCAGGTGGAAATGGGTACCCGGCTATAGACAGTGAAAGATCTTGTCAGTTTGTAAGTGTTTAAGCGTTTGAAATCCACAGTCTGCACTGCATGCTTCCCAGGGAAGTGAAGATTGTTTCTGAGGGTTCGAGGGTCTGATGGGTAAAGTGCATAGGGCATGTTGAAGAGCGTGGATACGAGCTATATAAATACAGTTATTATTTTGTATTATTATTGTCATTATTAGTATAATATTGGTAGTATTGGTAGCAGTAGTAGTAGTAGTAGTAGTAGTAGTAGTAGTAGTAGTAGTAGTAGTAGCAGCAGTAGCAGTAGCAGTAGCAGTAGTAGTAGTAGTAGTAGTAGTAGTAGTAGTAGTAGTAGTAGTAGTAGTAGTAGTGTTTGC